TACCGGACATGGTAAATGTGCTGATTCGCTGTTCAGGTGGGGTCGTGCAGAAAGTCCACAGTGCGATTGCAGACAATCTAGACAGACCATAAGCCATTGTGTTTCAGACTGCCTGAATCGTACCTACCGTGGAAACCTCCAGGACTTTGCGAAATGTTCCCCAGAAGCAATTGAATGGTTATGTAAATTGGACATTAATATTTAGTGTAATTCTTTCTATCTTTAATGTTTGAATAATATATATGTATATGAAAAAAATTGTTTAAAATCCTTTATAAAAGGTATATAAAAATCAATTTATAAAGGATTTTAAACAATTTTTTGTGATATATGGTATACAGCCAGCTACAGGAACTTAGTTTCCTCGTGGAATTATATATGTATATATTATTGTATTTGTATATTTATCGTACTGTGAAAGTCCATACGCTAAATAAATAAAAGTAGATGTTTTCGACAGTTTTTATAATATAAAAAAAATATTTAATTATATAAATATAATAAGGAGTATTTTTTAATTATTAAATCAATTTCTAGCAAACAAAATATGTTGATATAAATAGTATATCACAATATAGAATGTGTTAACAGTATTATCAAAAAATAAGGCCAGAAAAGTTAGATACGAATTATATATCAAAAAAGTTTAACCCAAAAATACCAACCAATCCTCTACCAATATTCAATTTTTCGTTGACATCTACAACTAAAGTCTTTGGTACGCGTTATGCGGAGTACATTGCACTGGCTACGTCATGGGGAGACGAAACGTTACTATGGGGGGTGTTGGGACTGGCAGGACATACCTCGGGCTACTTGCTCGAGCCCACGAGTGCTGTCGAGGAGCCGTAGCTTTGAGAGTTACATGTCGGAAGAGCGAAGGGGTTCATTGAGGCGAATGGCGACGAGACTAAACTCATTCCTGAAATAAAAATAAATTTGGATTAATATTAAAATGACCAAATGAAAATTCTTGTTTCATCTAATTCAGCCATACATGATGAATCTCAAAATAATCAACTTTCAACAACTACCGGAATATGTAAAAGCACTTATATAGCCAAATATATTATCAGAAGCAGAAGTAAAGTCTTGATTATTTTAATAATATTTAATGATTTTCTATCAAGATATAAAATTCTACTTTATTAATACGAAATAAAAAGAGGTATTTTACAACAAATAATATTAAAATAGACAAACACTAATTGAAATATTTATTATTTTTATGACAAAGTGTATGCTTGGCGTATAAGCAACAGTTTATTCATTTTGAAAAACCACAGATATGTAATATTGGCATAATTACTGTAATTTATATCATTTATCTTTATTTATCTTCATAAGAGAACACCCTAATATGGGTTTTATTATTCAAGCATTTAATTAACTTTGTATCGAGGCCTGAAGATGCTTTGCATATGGTAGAAAGCGAAACCGGTCGTCTAGATAGTTAAATTAAACTGATTGTAAGTACAGTATTATGCGAATTAATGGAATCATAGGCTGTTTTATTGAAACAACAGTTTATTTAGTAAAAAATTATATTTTGACAAAACTATAAAGGTAAACTTACATCATTCAGTAGGAAATATGTCCTCCTTTGGCAGCAATTACTGCTTTTACCCGGTTTGGTATAGATTCTATGAGTTTCTGGCAGTTGTCAGATATCCTTTCATCTCGATACCAAACCTGAATGGCCCCTTCTATCATTTTTGTTTTAGTGGGACAGTCGATTTTTCGCAGTCTAGCTTTGCAAATGGCCCATAAATTTTGGTCGGGTGAATTACCGGGCCAATCTAAAACATTAATCTTCTTATTTTTGAAAAATGCCATCATTTCCTTTGATTTGTGACAGGGAGCAGAGTCCTGTTGAAGAATCGCTCCTCCTTGGGTTGACATTTTTGAAGTTGTTTGTCCAAATACTTTTCCAACATGGATTTGTATTTTTGGCTGTTCATCATGCTTTAATTGGCACCAAAAATCCAACCCCATGTATGAAAAACATCCCCAAAACATTTTCTTGACTGGATGTTTTACGGTTTGATCAATATGAGATGGTGTAAGCTTTTCATTGTCAGACTTCCTGACGAATTTCAACCGCTGTCCCTAAACTATAAAGTGGGTTTCATCTGTAAATAGGACTTATTTCCACTCGTCTACAGTCCAATTGAGTATTTTTTGGCCCACAGTAGCCTTTGTTTCTTTATTAGTTCAGTTATAAGCTGTTTTTTCTGTGGACGAATTGCCCTTCTACCATTCTCCAGAAGTCTTCTACGAACAGTTGAGTCATGAATCACTATAGCTGATGCTGCTAGATCTTATTGTAGGTCTTGGCTTGATTTTCTTGTGTCCAATTTGCTCTTTCGAAGTAAAAATCTATCATCTGCTGGTGTTTTTTTCTCTTTCTTCCACATTTTCCTAACCTTTTCACATCCACTGGTCTCGTTTCTCGTTTACGCTTCAAAATTTTGCTTACTACCCCTGACTCACTGCACACGTTCTAGCAATCTCTCTTTGTGACATACTAGTGTGTTCACTCAACGTGACAATCTTTTCACGCTTCCTAGGCGTAATATCCATGTTGAAATAAAACCAAAAACAACACAAAATAGTACAAAAACCCCCAAAACAACACAAGCTTGGTAAGAAATTACCTAAAACACACTCAAACACACCAACACACAGTAAGGTTATGTTTTCAATGCTTGGTCAGCTGTCAACTGTGTAAGTAGTGTTGCCAACTGTGAATATTGAAAAAACGAAAAAAAATTTACTGTGATTCCATTAATTCGCACAATACTGTAAGTTTTATTCATTATTTCTTTTACCTATTTTTAATAATTATGAATTCAATATTATTAAATTATTTCAATGCACACAAGAACATAGTAAAGTAATGTTTGTGTATTTTAATTTATAAATTATAAAAACGATTGCACCCTTTACACAGAGTAATAAATCATAATTAACTATCCCAAACATTGTAGCATTTTAATATTCTTTGATATATATTGAAATCACCCCGTATGTATTAATACACCGAAATATTCTTTCAATCCTTGTTGAAAAAAAATTGAAACAATTGTGGAAATATATGGCGTTAAGATTTTAAGACTACCGCCTTATCATTGCGAGCTGAAACCGATTGAAATAGTGTGGAGTCAAGTAAAAAGGTGTGTGGCTTCAAACAACATCGATTTTAAAGTAATAACGGTAGAACTAATGATAACAGAAGCTTACCAATGCGTATATAAAGAGTAGTGGGATAATTATGTAAACCACGTCAAAAAAGTAAAATAAATACTACTTGCGGTGGACAATTTGCAAGAACATATTGAATCAGTGATAATTATTGTAGGAGATCATTCAGAGGATAAGGACGATTTAGATATGGATTGCGATTAGTATTAATTAACGAGAAATATCCCAGATTTAATGCTCACTTGTTTGTTTAGTACTGTACGTACATTGCATTTCAGTTCTGATCTATTTTAGATTTTAAGGCATTTTTTTATAAAATACGTTTGCTTTTTTTCTTTATACTCTTAATTTGTAACGATTATTTTGCCTACCACATAGGGTATTACTATAAGGGATTGAAAATTGGGGACAGAAATTATTGGGGCCGAGATAGGACAAGCAAAACAAACCGAAACTATTGCGAACGGCTACCAAGCGTTTATTTAAGAGCTGGGTCATGGATAAGTGAATGAAACAATAGGATTGGATTGGGGCAACTACAAAAAGTAAAGCAAAAGGGTACTTACATTAATCTCCTGGACAAACACAATACAAGAAGGTCCTCAAGCTATTTAAAATGGAAGCCGCTTAGAAGAATCTTCCTGCTGGATGAAAGAAAAGACTCTTTCTTCCTGGATTTCAATAAATGTTATTTTTATTTTAAATTTCTGGGAACTGGAGATTCACTGCCATGCAAAAAACTGCATCTATAGCCTGAACCGACAAACAGGGACAAACAAAATGAGGATAGAAGCTAGCACTGGGCAAAATGGAAACATGGTTACGTGGATATTCTTCAAAGTTGTTGTAAACGCCGTTTTACAAATATCTCAGATGAGAGACGACATACAAAATAAAACAGTGATTACTTGTTCAAAACTGACACATTGAATTGAGTATATTTCACTTTTTTAACAAATTCGCCGGCTCCTTAACGCCGACACTCGCTGCGTATTGTCTCAAACAAGATTTTCCCAAAACCTGACTTCCTCAGTCCGTATTTTCGACTTCTCTCTCGCGCCTTACCCCTCGTACCGGTCTTCGTAGCAAGCCAATCAAAATTTTTTTCAAAGACTTTTAAAAGAAGATTCAACCTTAACATGACTTGGGTTAAAATTCAAAAAATTTTTAAAACACAAAATATGAATTATTTTACTTCGCAGTGGTAACTGAAATTTGGAATGTAAATAAAGACACGAAATTTTTTAAATGGCCCAGGGGCGTACCAGATAAATTTTATACTTTTAATATTCGATGTTTATAGGAAATTTATACATGCTACAAATTAGCTCACTTATATTATTGAACAACGATTTTCGAAACGAAGCGCGTACGGTCCTGATTTCACAGTCTATCGCCAAACTACCACACACCTACAAAGTTTTATTATAAATTACATACTAACTTTAACTACAAACACACTCGATAATACTGACAGGATTTATTTTAAAATAGTAATCTTCATACAAGTTCTACAGACAACTAATTGATTATTAAATTTGAATAAAGGTCAAATCAGATTTGGGCGGTTCTAAAACATTGACAATACTATTATTATGAAACAACTCCATGTGACTGATTTATCACTCTGTGTAATTTCTTCACTGACTTTAATTTATATGTTAAGACTACCAAAATACTGCAATAATTTAAAAAGAAACTACTTTATACAATATTTCCACCACAAAACAATCAGAAATACTACGGAAATATACACAAGAAAAAACCACACCTTAAAACCACGCAATTAAATTATACTAACATTGTACAGCCAAATGGTGCCAACCAGACATAGGCTGATGATGAAATAGAGCAGGAGCAGGAGTGGGGGGTGTTTCACCCCCTCTAACTACTGGGGCAAAAGCGCTTTTTTCGTTATTCGTATGCTCGTGTTTGATGTAGTAACAACCAAAATTATAATTAGGTGCTTCTGAAGGAACTAAAAGAAAATAAAAATAAAAATAACTATGAGTAAAGTATAAAGGGTTAAATTAATTATTGTTTGTATTTATCTACGTAATTAATGCTTAAATTGGTTCTAATAAATGGTTCATACTTGGTGTGGTGTTAAATATTCCAGCTGAAGGAGATCCTGGCAGCATGTTGGAGAGTTGCGAAGTGGTACTTGTAGGTGTTGTTCCTCCGTAACCTCCGTTAATGTTGCCTCCTCCACCTCCACCTGTGTATGAACCGCCTCCATTTGAAGAATGAGGTGTTGATGCATTGGAGCAGTAGCCACCACCGCGCGGTGATACGCTACTACTTTGTGTCCGCCCCCCGTAGTCTTCTAAAAGAAAAACCCTAGGGTAAGAAATCTACTGTCAGTAATACAGTAATACCACAACTAAAAGTAATATATAAAATATGATTTTTACATATCTATATTTACAAAAGGAGTCGATTTATAATTTTCTTTAGATATCTTATTAATATGTAAAGTATTTAAAAATGGAATGGTTTTATTTCTGATTTTTTTAAAAATAATATAGAACGCAATATGTCCAGATACGTTATAATAAGGTACAGCCGCAAATTAACCCTTTAATCGGCAAAATAGAAATAGGGGATTAAACTTTCTGAAAATTTTGGTTTCGGGGTAATTTTGGTAAATGAAACACGAATAGAAAGTCCATTTTTCGATATCGTTATTGAGTCAGTCACAAAGTGAAAAAGAAGAATGCCGGCCATACGGCCGGTATATCGTTCTATAGGGGAAAATGAATTAGTCCTTTTTTGTTGCTTATAAAAACATTTAATTTTTTATTGATATAAACTTGATAAAAAAAATTAACAGGTAAATACTAAAAAATGAAATATATTAACGACGGACGTGGTAGTCTTTCCAACAATTCTTGGCACCGGAATAACATAAATGCAGTTGACATTTCGGGCAGAAAGTGTGTGTTTCCGATTTCTTGCAGTATTTGCAGGACTTTTTACGACCTGGAATCCATTCAGGAACATGATCAACTCCATCGTAACGTACATCTTCAACAGGATGCGCTGCCTTGTTGCCAGTATTAGTACTATTAGTAGTGAGCGGTGAGTTTGAAGGTCGACCAATGGGTCTTTTCTGAACAGAAGAGCACAGACCTTGAGCAATTTTCACACGAAATTGGAATAGTCTCATGTTTTTTTCTTTTGAAGTTCCTTCTTCTTTGAAATCTGTTTTCGCAGCATCCTCATTATGTGATCTGCGATACAATATGAACGCATTTGTGACAGCCATATCCAGAAAATGGTAAAAGATGCGTGTCATTGCATCCATTGTTTTAATGCGCAGTCCACTTCGTCCCATATGCGAGTCCATGAGGTCAACTCCTCCCATATGCGAATTGTACTCACGAATTATTTGGGGGTAGTCGACATCAATGTATTCTTTCTTTCTTTTGTCGTAACGAGTCGTTTTTGCTATCTGTTTGTCTGGATTCAATTTCTGAAATGGTTGGACCCCAACGTAAGTTGAACAAAGTTTTACGTTTTTGGTATCTTTCCAGAGGACAGTGGTAAGGTCCACACCATATGCACAACCCATATACTCCACTGCGTAACCCCGTTCGGCGTTTTTGATTTCTCTATCTGCATCCAGCGGAAGTTTACAATTGGGAATTCTATTTGCACGTATTGTCCCCAGTCCAAAGATTCCACGAGCTCGTAAATAAACTAAAAGGGGCAACGATGTGTAAAAATTGTCACAGTAAACGATATGGTTTTTGAAATTTGGAATTGTTTGTGACAACCTAATAACAACGTTGCTGGTAGCTCCGAGGTCTGGTGTTCCTGGCACGATGATGTTATCTCCAGCACCATTATATATCTCGAATTGGTACGAATATCCCGTGGTATCGCACAGTACAAACAACTTTATTCCCCATTTATGGGGCTTGTTCGGCATGTACTGGCGTAAATGGTGCGCCATTTTTGTCGAACACATTTGCTCGTCAACACATAACCGCGCATTCTTTGGAACGGAATTGAAGCGTTCATTTAAAATATTGGCAACTCTTCTAATTCTAAAAAGCGAATCATGTCCAGGTTGTCCTTTTTGAATACGCTCCGCTTCATTAGCAAAACACAAATATTTTTTTATCCGTTCAAATTTCTTTAATGGCATACACTGAGGAATTTGTCTAAATCCGAATTCTCCCCAGTGTGACTCCATGTTGGGATAACGAAAAATAGACATGTATAATAGAATTCCGATGTATCGTCGAATCTGCACCGCATCAACGTTGAATTGTGTGTTTATGTCTTTCAAACGTGCGTTTCGATTGGTTTCACAAACAATCAGGTCGATGAGTTCATCCGTGAAAAAATAACAAAAATACTCCATTGGTGTCTTCAGATTCTTTACAGTATACGGCAATGTAGTGTTTCCTCGAAATGCGACTTCATTGACATGCAATTGCATTGACTTTTTTCTCCATACAATTTTTGTGAACTCTGCTGAATTTTTGTCGATTGCATCCAAGCCTGAAAGAAAAAAGAGAAAAAAATTAGTATGGCATTATGACTTTCCGTGTTTTATTAGCATACCTGTGCCAGTGAAGCCACCCGCTGATGGTACTATATGTGGTCCCGTAGCTTCTACAGTTGGTAACGGGGATCTGGGTCTTTTCTTTGGTTTGAATTTAGTGGTTGTCGGTAGTTGTGTGGAAGTTGATGCAATTGGTTCTTTTGATGATAACCGTACGGATGATACTGAAACGTCCATTTGAGTATCCGGATCAGTTGTTGAAACTTCTGGTGATATAGTTTCGGATATTATAAGTTCCGGCAAAGTTAATGTTGCCGTTTCAGAAGTAAATATATTTACATGTGATTCTGAAACACCCACTAAATCTTCACTAACATCAGTGATATTACTTAGCTCTAACGGAGGGTCCATGGAGAGCTCCAAATCAGTGATATTTTCACGTAAACAAGAAGAAATCATCTCATCGTCCTCGGCTGTGAGCACATCCGCCTTGTAGTCATAATCCGGATCGGCTATGCTATCATCATCATCTTCGTAAACTGACTCGTCATCTGAATCCAGATTAGAGTTCATGATTTCGTCGATTTGTTCATCGGTTATTGTGGAAAGATCGTATTTTGTCCTCTTTTCCGCGTCTGTCAGCTCGTGATACCTTTTCGCACCATACTTTCTTCGTCTTTGAGATCTATTATTTTCCATGTTCTACGATAGAAAGAAAGAAATGTATAAATAATAAAAGTATAAATAATACAAATATGTACTTTTATTCAAATACGCGGAGAACTTATTTTACCGTACATCGGCAAGCCGGCCGAAAGGCGGGTATCACTCCACACTCAAAAACCAGTACTAATTTTATATTTTTCACCAAATATTCCAGCAAACTATCAAACACATACTATAAGTACTTACCAAAAAAAAATGAAATCAATTGGACAACTAGAACTATTTTATTTTACGGTTCGATTACACGTGTTCCAGAGCAATAATTTCTCCGTACGATTCACTTGCTTGCTTACACGTAACTGACCATATCTCTCAATTAACTGAACCTACAGCTTTTAAACCGTTACTGTTGGACGAGTCTATTCTTGCCGAAAAGCGGTGTAGTCGACGTGAAAGCAAATAAATTTTACATTTTAAAATAATTCGGTTATTTTAATGCCGGCCTTATGGCGGGATTACCGATTAAAGGGTTAAAAGATTTTTTTGACTACGTCCTGTATAATATTGTAAATGGTGTGCTTTTGTGGCTTGATACCATGTTTTGATTTTTCTATGTCATCATATTTTTCATTTTCTATGTAAAAAGAAGCAATGGATGACGGAAGAAATTTTAGATTTAATGGAAGAAAGACGTCAATATAAAAACAAAGATAATCAAATGTACAGAAAAGTGGATAAACAAATAAAATACAGAATTAGGAAAAACGAAAGAAAAATGGTTAAAAGAATAATGCGCAGAAATAAAAGAATACCAGAAAAGACATGTTAGTTTTAACACACATAAAAAATTAAAGAAGTAACTCACAACAATAGAATAAGAAAACCGGGAATGCTGAAAGATGCAAATGGGAAACTTGTGTTGAATACTACTAACGACAAATTAAAGAGATGGTCAGAATACATCAATGAACTGTTCACAGACAATAGAAGAGAGCAGAAGTAGAAGAGGATATAGTTTTAAAGATATTCAAAGAGGAAATTAAAAAACAGAGAAATGGTAAAGCATTAGGTCCAGACGAAATTTCTATAGAAATCTTAAAATGCATAAATGATGAAACCTTAGACATTATAGTAGACTTATTTAACTCAGTATACAAAATAGGACACATACCGAAACAATGGTTATTCTCCACCTTTGGTGCTATTTCTAAAAATACAAACGCTCAATATTGCAGTGAATGCAGAACAATATCACTAATAGGTCACATTCTCAAATTATTCTTAAAAATAATACATTGTCGTATAAATAAAAACCTGGAAGAAGGAATAAATGATCGTCAGTTTGGGTTCAGAAACGGAATAGTAATCAGAGAAACGTTATTTGCTTTTAATGTGTTAGCTCAAAGATGCATGGATATTAATCTTGATATGCAGGTTTGTTACGTTGATTTTGAAAAAGTATTTGACAAAGACATGCAAAATTAGTCCAAATTTTACAGACAAATAACATAGACCATAGGGATTTACGAATAATAACAAACTTTTACTAGAATCAAAGAGCACATCGTAATAGATAACGAACCTAGGCCAGAAATTGAAATCAGGAGAGGAGTAGGACAGGGATGTATTATGTCCCCATTACTATTTAATGTAAACAGTGAAACCATTTTAAAAGAAGCATTACTAATTAGAAGAAATAATAATTAACGGAAGATCTAATAACAACATAAGATATCCAGATGACACCGTTATTATTGAAAGCTCTGCTGAACAACTCCAATTACTGCTAAACAAAACAAACAGTTTCTGTAAAAAATATGGACTAAAAATGAATATAAAGAAGACTAAATATATGATAATAACAAAGAAAACAAATATACCAACAAACTTACATTTGGGAAATGTACCGATAGAAAGGGTTGATAAATACAAATACATAGAAAACTGGATTTCAGACAATAATAATTAAACGACTGAAATAAGAGCCAGGATAGAAATAGCAAGAAATGCGTTTGTTAAAATGAAAACAATTCTCTGCAACAAAGACATTACATGTAGCGTTATACCTGCTACATTGCCTGCTTTCTTTCTTATGTTAATATATTTCGTTAATTCTATTCTCCAATTTCCATATCTTCTGTCAT